TCATTGCTAACAGATTTTGTTTTAATTTGATTCTTTTAAAAGATCCTGTTGAACGCCTGCTGCCCAGGATGGGTGCGCACTGACATGGCTGGACCAAAAGCTCCCAAGTCACCAGACGAGGGCGCTGTCACACCGGTCTACCTGGCTTTGCTGCCACCAGGAGCCAAAGAGCCTCATGGACAGTTTGTCTCTGAAAAGACTGTTCAGAAGTGGTGATGAGCGTGTGAAAGTCAAAGCGTGTCCACATGAACAATAACACAATTTGGTGAAATTACAAAACTGTGAATCATTTAAAGAATGAAAGTCACCCAACATAACAAACAACCAGTAACATAAACTGACATTGCTAAAGCTCGTGATGTTTTTTTTAGGACAGAGTTTAACTCTTATCCAAATTGTTTGGTAATAGAACTCAAATTGTTCGTTTTGTTCTCGGTAACAGTACAGTACTGTGTGTGTGTCTGCTAGCTGGAACGAATCAAAATAAAAGTGAATCCGTGAAATGTTTGATTGTTAACAAAGCCTTCAGTACATAACATTTTCATATCTTTGACCTCATAAACTTGCCTTAACTGGATGAAGCTAATTGTTCAGAATTACTAGAAAATGTGGTTGTTTAATACAAAATGATTTTTTTTTTTTTTTGCTTTAAATAAAACATGTGGATCTCGAGTCAAAATACCAAATAAAGTGACTTCAAAACATAAGGGTGAGTGGTCTGAATGTTACAGTGTCCCCGTATTACACAGAGTGCATCAGCCACTCCTCCACTTTTTCTTTGCCAAGCCAAACGCCTCAAACGTATTGGTTTGTCCAGTTTCCTCTTCACGTTTCTGTAAGGAAATCTGTCTCCAGCATCTCGGAGCTCTTCTTCCCTGGACCAGTTAAAACCCTGTGAGAGCAGCCAGCTGTTTTTTTTGTTTTTGTTTTAAAAGAAAAAACATTTTCTGGGATATTTTCTCTATAATAAGATTCTTTAGAACATTTTTGGCCATCTTGAGAATAAGCAAACCTGTAAAAGCTGATGCTCTGCACTTAACCAGCATATAAACTATTGTCTGTTTAATCAGGACAGCAGCAGTTTTCAGCTGTTTTTTTCATTTTGGTTCAGTATTGAATGTTATTGTTTTATGTGTACTTCAGGAGCCTTTTAATATTCAACTACCTGTTAGTTTATCGTTGCTTTACGCGCTGATAATGTTCAAAACTCCACCCAGCTTCCCTCCCACTATTTGCAGCATATAATTCATTGTCCTCTGCATCCCTCTCAGTGCTGCTACAGCTTCCTTCAGAATCACAACAGCAGCAAAAGTAAGTAAGAAACCTTTTTTTTTTTTATCTTTTGTTCCACATTTGGTAGCTGACTGTTTCTTAAAATCTTTTCATAATTCTGAGGAAATGGTTATATCCAAATATCCTCTTTTAAAATAAAAATGGACTGAAAACAGAGAGTACATTTTAATCATATCTCAAATTAAAAGTAGGTCTAATCATATTTTTACATGTTATAAAAAGATGTCCCAAATCGGTTAATTTTTTCTTGAAGTTTCATCAAGGCTGTCGTTCTTAACATTCAGGAGATTTCATAACATGTTTTCCTTTTTCGAATCTAATTTATGATCAAACTGATTTAATGCGATGCTATAATTCCACAGCCACATTTAAAACGGTTTCAAAAGTATGAGTTTGCATTAAAAATGAGTTTTATGATAAATTCTGCAAATTTTAATTTAATCCATCTTTAATTTCTTGTGTTTTTCATTGAAAACATATTTGGATTTGTCTGTTTTAACATGTCGTCATGACTCTGCAAGTCTTACAATCAGCCCTCTTACATTGCTGATAAGAGAACTGACCTACAACTAAGGAGCTCTTCCATAAATATTCATACATGTTTTTTCTGATGTGGGAATACATGTGAATGCCTCAGCCTGATTCTCCTGATATTGTCCTGCAGCTTTATGTCCTCCAATCTGATAATCAGTGGCTCAACATGAAACTTCATACACTCATATCTCTCTTTCTGCACGTGCAGACATGTCGACCAAGGTTGCAGTGGTTACTGGCAGTAACAAAGGCATCGGTCTGGCCATCGTCCAAGCGCTCTGCAAGCAGTTCGATGGAGATGTTTACATCACCTCCAGAGATGTGTAAGTGACTCACCTGGTGACAGCTGCACCTGGTTGATGTGAAGGCCTTCACGTGTAACTGTGGTTTTTATATCTAGACATTCACCTAACTCTGACGTTTCACAGTGAGGTCCAAAAATATTCCATTAACTGAGAAGTACATGAAACCTTTTTGGTCCTTTTGCAGAGGTCGGGGTGAGGAAGCAGTGAAGACTCTGAACTCAGAGGGACTCAAACCCAAGTTCCACCAGCTGGACATCAATGACTTGAACAGCATTAAAAATGCTGCTGCCTACTTTAAAGGGAAGTATGGAGGAGTGGACATTCTCATCAATAATGCTGGAACAGCATTCAAAGGTAGAATTAGAACTATATAATAATACATATCATACTGGATCAATGTATATGGTAGTTTAATACTGCAGCTGTGAATTGAAGTGGATGGCGTTCACAGCATGTTAACTTTTTCCTTTCAGCGTCAGATCCAACTCCCTTTGATGTCCAGGCAGAGGTGATCCTGACGACAAACTTTTTCGGAACTAGAGACATGTCGACACATTTCCTGCCAATGATCAGAGCTGGAGGTACAGATGCAGAGACTCTGGTGCTAAGTGCACATTACATACACTTTACATAAATGTATTAAACAAAAAGTAAACGAAGACATTCAGATTTGGTGTCACTCTAAGATGGGGTCACATGCATCCTGTTTGTTTGAATCAGTTTTAATTGTCATT